CAGGAAAACCAGCAAGAATTAACCAATAAACTAACCGAACAAGAGGAAATATTAAAACAAAGACCAGATATTACTAATGAAAAATACCAAGAACTTTTAAACAATCAAGAAAAACATCAAGAGGAAGAATTAAAACCGGAAAACTTGCCGACTGATTGAGAACAACAATTAAAAGATAAAAAAGAGTTAGAAACAAAATTATCGGAAACCCAAGAAAAAAGTCAAGAAATGGAGAAACAACTTAAAGCCACTTATCACACTTATCCAATCATTATGGAGGAGGAAAAACCCGAGAATATAAAAAAATATATTGGCGAATTAGAAAAAAGACCTACCCTTGAACAATTTCAACAAGACATTCAACAAGAAAGAAACAAATATAAAGATTACGACACTTTAAAAACTAATTTGGAAGAACTTAAAAAAAAATATGATGAATTAAAAAGTGTTGGGATTAATGAAGAAAAAATAACCAGTCTAAACCAACAATTACAAACTGAAATTGAAAAGAATAAAGTTTTAGAGGGAAAATTGAGCGTTTTACCCCCGCCTATATCCATAAAAGAAGAAAGTATAATAAAAAAGGTCAAAGAGCTATTAAATTCCGCTATTAATCCTTTAAAACAAGAAATCGAGGAATTATTAAAAAAACAAGCGACAAATAATAGTTCCCCAAATAAATCCCCTACTGAATTACCAACTGATTATGAATTAATAAAGGCTGATAAAGAAGAATTGCTTAAAATCTTTGAAACTTTGAAATTGAAAATATCAGAGAGTGAAGAAGAAAAATAAGACAATATTGTAAGCAGTTTTAGTTAACTATTTCTTTTTTACAAATAGCACACCAATATTTTTGAGTTCGAGGATTATAAACTAAACTAGATTTACAAATTGAACATCGATAAGTAGGTTGATAATTACCCACTGAAATCTTTTTATTAGTGGAAGTTTTAATATCTTCTCCCGATAATTCGTGCTTTTTTAGAAAATCATCCGATTTTTTTTGTTCTTCTTCTGTTAAAGATTTATTAGAAATTTGATTATCCTTTAAATCAGGGTCATTCCCATCTATTACCCTAATTAAGAAAAATTTGCTTAACATATACTTCATAGCATAGGTTTCAGCTGACCCTTTTGCTTGGGCGAAATTAATATTATCACCACACACTCAAAATTTAAATGTTTCGGTCGTGTTGGTTTCTTGGTCGCAAACTTCCATCTTTTTCAAATATCTTAAAAAATGTTTGTTGCCCTCCTTATCCCATTGTAAAGGCTGAGTGTCATCATCGGCTATTTTTAAGGTTATATTTCTCCCTCTCCAATAATGGCTTTAAAATTTTTAATATTTGGCTTTCCTCAAAATACTTATAATTTAAGTTCTTGTTTTTTTCATCTTTAACTAAACCTTTAATATCTCTCTGAATTCTGCCTATTTTGGCATTTAGTCCTTTAATTTGTTCTGTCATATTTATTTACTAAAATCTTCTTTCTTTAAATTGCTCACTTCATTCTTAATCAATAATACTCTTTCATCGTGCTGATTTTCTGTTGCTGGGTAGTAGGGGGCAAAGATAGCAAAATTCATCTTGGAACAATTTCCTATATACTTTTTCACACAATCTTCGCAAAGTTTAACCAGAAAATGTTTATTACTTTCAATTATACTCTTACAAATATTCGGATTATCATCAATCACAATATCAAAATCAGAGGCATATTTTTTAATTCAGTCTGCTTTGGTTTGTCCTTTTCTCTTATCATCAAAACCAATCAACCTTATTCCAGCATATCTCTTAATACTATATTTACAAAGTTTATCGAAAGTTTCATTAAATATTCCGTATTTCCTACTGTCTTTATTCGGTCAAACTTTTTTATCGTAAGCAGATAGGAAAATAATTTGCTCTATTTTATCCTCCTTTATCAGTTTCAGCAAATCCTCAGCAATCGTTAAAAATGGTGCTTGTTGATAGAAGTTAGGGGAGTTTTTGATTGCTTGTTGTTTTTCAATGGTATAACTTGGTTTTTTTCCATCTTGAAAAGGATCTGCTAATTTAGAACCATAAGGAAAATATTCAATTCTGTTTTCCAGTTCCCAAAACTCTTTAAAAAATTCAGAGAATTCACCTGCTTTTTCTTTTTCTCCAAGTGCTTTCCATAAAGCATAAGGCTCAGTGGCTTGAATTACTTCATCTCAATCACAGACTATTTTTAATTTTTTATTCGTATTTTTATATTGGTCGTAGAGACTGGTTATTTTTTTTTGGTTCATATTTATTTGTTAAAATTTCTAAGGTTGTTTTTTATCTTTATTCATGGCTGTTATTTCACCAGTTTAATAATTAATGTTATTATCACGGCAAAAATGCCTATAATTATTAATGCTCCGTCGGTTATTGTAATACTCATATTATTTTCAATTCTTTACTAAAAAT